TCACCATCTAGGACACTGGCAACTACTACTGAATTTATCGACTTGCTGTATTCAATGGTGCCTCATAGTTGTGTATTATTTTGGCAGCTGATATGCCTTCGGTCCTGGCAAACCATTGAGAGGCCGAACGCGTGCTTGCACTGAAGTCACGAGAAGGTCATCATAGCCACGTATGCTCCAGCTGGCAACAGGTAGCGTTGTTCCGACGTTTCTCAGCTGTTATATATGTTGACATAACGCACGCGACAAAATGCTTGGGGTATGCTTTCTGAAGCAAATAATGTCTGGCCTGTAGACAAAAGCTGTATCCCTTCCTGAACACGGATGGCTTGGTACCGGGTCCCCGGTTGTGCACGCCTTTGTGAAAAATAGAAGTTTGCCCTATGTATAAAGTGGCTTCTTCAAGGGAAGAATGAGGAGCAGTATCAAGTGGAGTCTTTTGTCATACAAAAGCCGGCGGCACAAACGCCGGCTGCAAATGCAGCCTTTGGCTGAGGCGTTATTTTGTGCTACCTCAACAATAGAATGGCTACCAGGAGGCACGAATGTATTATAAAACACCTATGTATTTTTGACCACAGGCACTGTGAACGGCCGGCACATATTCCACCGCATGGCCTGCTTGGACAACGACCTAAGAAAACGTTTTATTTATCAGACCAAGAGCACAACTTCCGGCAAGATCTGCAGGCACTGCGCCGCACGGACCCGCGATTCGTCTCTTATCTCACAGTCCACTGGCTTTAAATCATCCAAAATTGGGGTGTACACGCACAATGCGGGATGGTCCACTTTGATAACCGGACCAACAGGAGTCTAGAGAATACAAACAACTGACTGAATGAAAGGGTGCACATGAAGGAGCGTGGCACACAAGTGTCCCGACACACCTAGTAGCTCATGCGGGAATTCGAACTGCAACCGACGGGAAATATTGGAGGGTGACTAGAACAAGGTGTACCCCTTACACTTGTTTCAAAGCCACCACCGGCAGCTTCTGACAGACTGCGTAAATAACTGATACGTGTGGTGGATAAACTTAAGGTGCTACAACATAGGGAGGGCAACAAACACCATTAGGCAGTTGATTGTTCTTGGAAAATTCGGCTGTGGCATGACTGAATGTCTGCAAATCACGACCTGCTGTCAGTGGTTGGGATATTCTGTCTGTTCTGCGGACACAGACTTGGGCTTTTTACGTTTTGTAACCGACCTACTAGTGGAATCGACAGCGTCGGATCACGTATAATATCACATCGGCTGCTGTGGTGATGAAGCCCGCCAGCTACGCGGCGATGATCTTCAGGCTTGTCCCAGAGGTGAATTCACTGCTGAATGATTTATTTTCGGCTCTTGGGCCTCAGTTCATTCAGAAAACCTAAAGCTTTGCTTGATTACCGGTATACAAAGAAGGCGTCTTATGATGTTGACCTGACCGAAGCACACGATCCCAGAACGGCGTGTCCCGGAAATCCGTGTTTGTCCATACTCTAGGGTCAAAAGAACAGCCAGTCGACAGCCTTGAGTAAATATCTGACCACTGCGAATAACGCTGTGGAGGGCCAGCTGGGGGAAAGGGAATAAAATGATTTCATGTGACTCATACATGGCCGATTTACTCCAGACAGTTGATCGGTTAACGGGGCGTCGTGCATTTCATGTAGCTGTCGTATTTTTTATGGGTTATAGTCGGTAGACAACGGGCTACAAGAAACCAAGCAATGCGAATCAGCCTTTGAAGATGGCGTTGTGTAAACCAGCCCATACAGCGTTGCCGCCGCTGAAGTGCTCCCTCTATATTTGGGAAGTATTGCACACATTTTGGCATTGATAATGATGTCTCGATAACCTAACTTCCATCCTCCTCTCATTTCAGCAAGTCAACAACTTAATGAACACTGCACATCAAGAGGGCAATATGCTTCCAGGCAGGATATATCTACTAATCAAACCGACCAATTAAACTCAATTTTTCGTGTCGTACTTTTCGGGTCTTTGATTTCTTTCCGGTATATAGGGATAGACGTCAAGTTCGTTCACCTATCCGCTATCACCTAAATTGGTTATATGTGACTAGCTAATCGGGTATCGTGGACCTCTACGAGCACGTTAGTCGTGTGCCTCAGCTAGGTTCGTTCCATTTTCTACTATGATTGACGACATAATCGTCTTGGCAGTTCTTGCAAGGCATACTGGCGCACTGCGCTGCTCGAAAACAAACCTGCGCACGTCATTGACCTGCATAAGCCGTACGTTTTTCCAACCTAGAAAGCTTTATCTTGCAAAAATGAATTCAGATTCATTGATGTTAATTCTATATATCAATTATCGAGATCCCCGGACGCATAGTTCTCCATTAGGCCAGTGGAGCAGATCCAAACAACGGACATTATTTACAGCCACCATCGCAGAATTTTCATTCACAAGGACCGCGTAGTTTCCAGAAAACTCATTTACATCTCAGCTGCAGAACTGTCTACAATTTACGCCCTTTGTGAGCAATTAAACCTTTACCACAATTGGCGATCTTTCATAACTTTCGGCAATGTATTCACAGTCGGTGGAGTTTGGTGACCTTGTGGTGGTTTGTTTGAATACGAAATATCGCAACCTTAAAGATTCACTCGCTTAAAAACTTACCCACCAAGGCATTTTCGGAATAACTCATTATATATGTGCAATCTACTATATGAAGCGGTAACGCCGAAAACGTCGCAGTTTTCGGAAGATCGGTTCCATTGTGCGAATACTGAGCGGCATTTTACCCCCTTAGCTGGTAAACATCTGAACCGGTAGCGGCTGTTGACCTTGAATATTTGCTCAATTAAAATAATGCGCAAACGAGCAACTGAGTTAGACTAACTTCCATAAATTTTTTGACCTCGAAGTTGCCATAGTTCCGGCGAAATTAAATCAGGTTTTCTTGTATTGAGCATGCTAGCCTTCATAAGTATGAGTTCCGCGCCCAATATGGATTTTGATTACGCATGAGCAAACTTAATCAACCATGTCTGGGGAAATCTCATGTGCTGGAATAAATATCGTCTAATGCCGAGAATGTTCGCAAAAGTTGTTTTCTTCCAAACTATTGTTTCAGTGGAACATGTAGTGTGCGCTTGAATGCCCGCGGCGGGGAAGTGGTAGTAGAGATAGGGGTTAATAAGAGATGAGCGGTGTTGAAAGGGCCACTAACTTAACGATGCAGAACGTTTAGGTGGAAAGTGGCTTTAAGAAATAGAAGTGAATGATGGCGAAAAAGCTGGCGTTACGGTTGAAGCGATGATGGTCGTTCTTGGACTCACAGTTCCGACTGAGGAGCTGCACTATGCGGAGACTGACAGCCGGCTGAAGGTTAATTGGGGGCAGCGAATCAGTATCGGTGATAGCAGTCGCCTTTGTGCAGCTCGTCTGCCTATGAATGCGTAAACGACTTACCAGGGTCATATGTTAACCCGTGATGGGCGGTCCGTCATAAAAGCCAGGTGTGTAATCAGTTCACATCCCGGCATGCTGTACGAAATTCGCAAGAATCTGGAACTGGTCCTACACTGGTCAACAGAAAATACATTACAGGATAGCTGTTTGCCTCAGGCACTGCACCTGCTCCCTAAAATATATCACTGATACAGAAAATCAAGAGACTAGACATGATGAAGCTCAAAACCATGAAACATCCAAGAGGTGCTCAGAAACACACTGATATGAGGTTAGGCATCAAACGGCGGTATAGTTGTCGGCCGAAATTAGGTACCAATTGCAGTGGAATGTTTTAAGCGGTGAGCACAACTCGTCAGTTTTGTTATGAGTGCAATAATTAGTCCACGGTTAGATTGGGTGTGTGGTGAGTTTGCACCCAGAACCGGAAACAAAGTAAAAATTGCCAAAAGGTTTTTTGATTTTGAGGTAGAATCGACGAGAAAGTTGTACAACAAGGAAGGCAAATACAGTTCTGTTGCCCAGAATCTCTTTCGTTACCCGTTGGAATATGTACAGATACTCGGCTAACACCGGGATGGCAAAACTTTGCCAGGGTATTTGAAAAATCAGCTAAAGTATCATACGACGATGAATTATTGAGAAAACACCTTTGAGTCCACCATTCTCGCTCAACAACCCATTAACTGGGTAATAAAACAAATGCTCTTAGCTATTTACTTAAACCGCTCCGGAGGGGAACTGTTTGTGTACCTCACAGCTATGCTCGTTTGCCAATCCTGAATATTTGTTGCTTGGTTATTTCGACGTTAACAACTCACCTTTTGTAAAGGCGAGAGTAAACATAACTAGTCCCAAAATTCACATACCTTAGATTCGGGAGTTCAAGCCAATTGGCGAATTCTTATGTTCTCATAAACCCTCAATTTGTGCGCGGTGATTTCCACATTTCCACATATTTCACGATTTTATCACCACAGACACCGCGAACAGGACTTGCCACATGAAACGCAGTAACCAAGGTTCCCTTTTCGAATCCAAGACAAAACTCTTTCGGAAACCTGTAAACTGTTTGACTTGGTGTCTTAGATGACTGACTCAGAGTTACCGGGCACGAGTCAGGGTAGGTTCTGAGCTCTTGAGAAGTTGAGTCGATGTCGAAAAACTGCGCTCGACAGACCGTGATGCCAGGCATAACGTGTGAATCGCTAGGATGAGGCCTAGTAATGGCGCAGCAACAGAACAATGAAACACGTATCGTGCACACGAACGAATGTTGTACACCGGATTACATTCTAATCACAAATGGTTGCAGCTGTATGTATGTTTTCCCACATTAGAAGTACAGTTAGTATGGAAAGGGCGCATGCCAGTCGGCTGTCACAGAAAATAGTTACGATAGAAAACGTTTGGAAGTTGCCGTGCAAACATGATCTGTGGTAAAAAAGGAGATCCGTGAACTGGAATTTGCAACACACCATTTTCATGTTTTCTGTCCGGTCGTCAAACGCAAATGTCAAGTCAAAACGTCAAGTACCGTAAAGACAGCCAACCGACGGTCGGGGAGGATTATGCTTGACATCCGCATAAAGTAGTTTAAAAAGGGAGCACGAAAACAACAGTGAGAATGACCAATCGCTGGATCCAATGTCATGTTTCCAAGGTGGTGGGGACGTATCTATATCGTACCTATGGAATGAAAAATTGAAACAGTAAAAACTGCTTATTTGCTTATATACCATGTGAATGAGCGAAACAGAGGGACCAATGACAGGCACGATCTGGTGTGTGTTCCAGCAATTTCTTGTGCTCTCGCACGTCCTCGCGCAATAACACAGCTGATCAAATGCATTCCCAGTTGCCCACATTCTCAACGCACGTGCCTCTAAATCTACATCTGAATCCAAATCCAAATCCAAATCCAAATCCACATCCACATCCACCTCTTAATCCCATGCTAAATGTCCTCTCCCATACTCCGGGCCAAATCTACGCAACATACGATTTCCAACTAACCGCGTCCCTGTGCATCTCACTCTCCCCAATCTGGTGTCGGTCGCGGTGAGAATCACGTCGCGCACGCACATGCAATTTCACCAGCCCACACGATCACCAGCCCAAAGCCGTTTCGTGTGGCCGCAATCGGCCTACAGTCTGTTCTAATCACATAGCCATTAGCCTCACATCCCAATGCCAATGTGCGTAGCATAGAAACACCGGAAAATCTATGAACAGCCATCACTATGAGCCACTAAATTTAACGCCGACAGCATCCATCCATTTCATTATATGGACCCATTAGCTGACCGCATAACTGAAAGCCAAAAGCTAATTTCGAAGTATTTGTTTACTGATAAATGCTGGTGAAAATACACCATTCAACCTGATTATCACATATCTTTTCAGGAGTTATCAAGCTGGAGTTGCAGGGTGGCTAATCTGTGGGAAAGCTAATTTCACGTTGAACCTTCTAGTCGAAAGTGACAGTGGAGAAATTCTCCAACGAGCATAAAGTGTCAACTGAACCAATGTGAGTTGAAAGAGACATTATTGGAGCATGAACCTCGTTCCTGGTCTCGCATGTCACGCAATTTCACGGATGCTACTGCATAGTCCAAGACAAATGTTCAAGGAGCCATGGACTGAACGTGGCTGACCAAGATCGGGTATCGATTAAGTCCGAAGAATGAAACATCTGAATAAGCTGGAAAATCGTGCGCAAATCGTCACTGTTCAACTGTGATAGAGAACAGTCGTCGACCTGCAGAGAGCGCATAGGGGAAACTCTAGATTACGAGGGAACCCTAATAACATGAAGTGTTTTTCCATCCTTCGACAAAGCCCTTTAGGTACACTCTAACCGATGCGGTCTCTAGAGTGAGAGAGTTGAAAAAGTTGTCACGCGCAGCATTCAACCGACGAATCATTTCATCAATAAGGGCTTAAATAGAGGTGACACTAATAGGCAGTGCTACAGCGATCTCTTCGTATACAGCAGGTATGGTAACCGGTAGATATTAATCTTCATCTGGTAGCAATGGTGAGCTTCCTGATTTTGAAAAAAGAACAATTAGTATGGTAGAAAACAACAAGATCGTCTTTTGTTTCTTCCTTAGACTTGCTTGAACAATTCAAAGATAGCACAGCCGTGTTCCTGATATTCACATACTTCCAGGAATGTGAGTACGTATGGCGAGCTCTCCAAAAGCTTCCGTGAAATAAGTATCGTCCAGCAAGGTCACCGGCACTCTTCATTCCTGTTTATATTCCACATGAATAAAATAAGGAATTGGAAACAGTGACGTATTAAAAACTCAAGGGTTCAAATTGTTGCTCATGAGTTTTTGCGCCATGTCCCCACCAGGTTGTTGAAACTGCATTTAGAAAATTAATGCATCTTGACTCGATGGAGTCTTTATTTAAGAAAGGTACCCGAAGCGATTAACTGGACCGCAAAAATACGAAAGTCTGCTAGCTGCAACAGGGTTGCTAGTTTCAATGGCACTGCGACGTCTGAATTGAACAAGCGAGACTCAACTACAAGAGCACAAGATAAGATTTCGTCCAGACAGGAGTGCATGGACCACGCGCTCACATAACGTCAATCGACTGTACAGCGTTAAGCATAGAAACCATTAAGTGTGGGGTTTTTCTTTGACTTCAAAGGAGTTTTGGACTACGCGGATAAGTTGGTTCTTCTGCACATACACTGTATAAGACGAGGTTTGTGAATACTTTTCATGCCATTTAATCCTATAAATCTGGTCGTGTTAGGGTTTGCAGTGAGCTGTCGGAGTTACCCCCCCCCACCATAGATGGTGCAGTTTTCAAGGGTAGTACGCCTTCATTATTTTTATTCAGTTTCGTCACTGATGCCATCATTAAATGTACCGTCCAATGAAGCACAAATCTGCGTGTCGAAGTTACACCTGGAGGAAAATTGGTAGACATGGATTATGCGGATGACATTGTTCTGTTACTTGGCGATTATTCGCCTGCATTAACTACCGTACGCCGAATATCAGAGGTGATCCCCTGTCTCGTATGTTGCAACTTCAAGGTGCAGGAACTTACTTCGGGGTTTCTTGCTCCCATTGACCCGTTCGAAATGTCAGAATAAGGAGCTTGAGATTTTGTCAGGTTTACTTCGCTTGGCAGCTGTAACTGCATTATGACAGATGACGTTATTGCTTGTATCACCGGTGCACGGCAAATTATGACCAACTTGAATCACTTTTGACGTCAGGAACAAATATGGCTACAAAACGATAGTGAGAACAGCCCTGCCTTGCTAGGCTTCCTTCTCCTAGGATTGTATGACAGTTAAGCATTAGTTTCCACTGCGGGCGTGTAGCTGTTCATTTACCATTCATTTCCATTATGCCTCTAAGGTAAATGTGTTCCAGTCAAATTTCTCGACCCAAGCACTGCGTGCAAGTTCCCATGGACAAGCTCAGGTCTAGGGAAAACTTTCACCAGAATTTGGCAGATCGAGGCACGTCTCCCATCCATTCTTGCCTTCTACTTTGTTGTTGCCATCCCAATCTGCTCCTGCATCCTGTAAGAACGAAACGTTCCCGGTATCGTTTCTACACTAACCAGTGGGAAAACAGTCTCGCAGTACTCATAGAGAACGTAATCAATGCTTTTATACATGCGAGTCAGCCAGGACAAAGTCGATTGCCAATGGTTTGATAGGGAGCGAACATAAAACTTGCAATCGCATCATACTTTCTCCATAATGTACACATGTGAAATGATTAAAAAGGACGATGCTCCGAGCAGCAACTGACTCGTGTGGATTTTTGTAGGTGTTTTCGCTTAAAGTGGTACTGGTTACCTAGAGAAGGGTGAAGTCCCACGGAAGTTGAAAACACCGTGGTTTGCGAAATTACGCATCATCTCGTAACCTTTGATGTTGCCTTGAATTTCCGAAATTTGTTTGGCTGGATTTTGCTGCCTACGACAGTTATTACACCAGTCACAATACATATGGACTGAGAACATTCTGTACTGGAACTTGTAGGTGTGGTTAGAATATAGTTTCAGCTATAAACCAACCATCGGTCTGAAAGCGGTAGACTTAACCCTTAGAGAACGAGAGTCCACAGGACCAATAGTACGGTTACTTAAGAGCATAAAGCAGCTTGTCTTGTCTTCACCCATCGGTGCGTGTGCGACGCCATTCTTCTGGACATTTTTGAACTCAAACAGAATGAGGACGAAACTTACTCTTAATGGACTCAATTTGTAGTCTTGCAATTCGTAGGCCATAGTGAGGAAGTGGCCTAGGATTGCGAACGTCATTAACCATTCGAAGGTAACACTCAGCGCGTGGTAAACGTAGCGCTGAGGAAAGGGGAATGGACAAGATGGGGTGTATTATGTGACATTTTGTGGCGCAAATATGAAGAAAAAACAAGAGAAGACACGGGACTATCTCCAACCAAGCGGAGCAAATCCAGAGGGAATTTCAAAAGGCGCATACCACGGAAAAGCAAGTAGAAAAAGGAAACACCGAGACCGTCTATATGAGGAAGACAGTGGGTTACTGATCGACACGGATGTGTCTAGAGAAGCAGTGATACGGAATGTGAGACAGATCGTTTACTGTAGAAACGAGAATGAGGACATCAGAACAGGACAGCTAACGCGGGATAATGCAATCCCGAAACGTTCTCTTCAACCGCCCAACGCGTCACATGCGCACCTTTCATCTACGCAGTTACAAACATCAAATGAATTCTGAGATGGATTACTAGTGTGAAACTATTTTTGGTCATAAGGTTTATGTTAAGGGTAGCGTCTGGCACAAGTCTCCCCAAGAACAAGCCTGAAGGCATTTAAACAGGTGAGCGTGTCAATCGGCCATGGAAACGTTAGAAACGATGCTAACGTGGATATGCTGACCAGAGCGAAGCAAACGCTAAATAGGAGACCAAGTTGGACTGCGATTATTATGGTAACGATTCGTCTGGTCCATCTAGAAAAACAAGAACGTAAGGAAATGTTGATTTGTACGTGTTTCAAGTTGCTCTTTCTTAAAAATTTTACGCAACGGCAAGCTTTGAAGAGTTTATGGTTTAGGTTGCATTTTCTGCTGTGTATTACAGCAGATTTGAATCTCCTTCATCGGTCGGTAATCGCTCACTTCACTTTGGCAACCACGTTGATGTTAACACAGCTTTCAGAAAAGGCACTGCTAGTAACTCATCTCACGTGATCAAGAATCAGTAACAATTTTACTCGTCAGCGGGGCCAGATGAGATGAAAAACTGTGGAAATCTTCCTTCGAATTGGTCACTGCGTAATCAGAACACAATGGGAGACATAAATGACTTACGTCATCGTTGAGATTCCACTTTTTCGGAGGCAATTTTCTTATCCCACTACACAATGTGATGAACGCAATCACTGAAGGTAACGAAACAATGCAAGGTAAGTACTCGTGGTTTTAGCGGTTGAACACCTCCGATGTCTAATTCTATTCTTATTGCAAAACCCAGAGAGTGTAAATTATTCTTTTTTCCAGAAGCTGACCAGGGGCTTTCCAGAAGAGTTGAGTATTTTGTTTTTAGTTTGAGGGTAATTTTGGGGAACCTTATAACTCGGCAGTCGAACTTTAGTTCATCCTCAGGATTTTTAGAACCCAAGACACCGACGTAAGATATATTCGCAGGATTCGAATAGCTAGCTTAAAACAAGAGAAAATTTGAATCTACGAGTGGGAAACCATGATACTCTTACTTGATTAGGATTAGCTGATATACAACATCTTGCCTGCCTTACGGTTGCGAAATCTTTTGCTGCCCCATGGGATGAGGAATGCCTGAGGACTGAAAACCAACACGTATGCTTCCGGTCGAGGTTGCTTATAACAACTCAGCGGAACATTCCCAGAAGAAGCTGAATTTCCGTCTACGGTGCAACACGAAGTGCTGTGAACACGGTCAGGCCGAATCGGCTTACTTTCATCGTTTCTGTTCTGAGAAGTAAAAGGGCTGATGTAGGATTTTCTCCTGCTCATTACAGTGTGTGAACAAATAAATGAATACACAAACAGCACCTTCTAAATTCCTATGCATGCCATACTGGGTGCTTAAAAAACCTCGATTGTTATTGGTTCGCTGGCTTTGCGGCGCTTGAGGTCGGTCGACCTCGTCTGTTCAAAGTCGTCAAATGTTTTAAACTACAACATTGATTAAAATGGCCAGGCTATGCTGAGTAGAGAAGGGAAACGTGACTACATCTGCGACGACTGGAGAACGGCTTCCGAAAAAAAGCATCATTATTGACCGATAATGCTGTAGGCTTGTAGCGCTGGGCTCATTTAGCGTTTAATGTGTTGCTTGATAACCGCACAAACCAAGGCCACGAAAATACCAAAGCTAGCTCACTGATTCCATAAACAGTACTTTATTAAGAAACTGTGGTGAAAGTAGGGTAGTCATTTTGGCTGCTGCAAAACGATTCAAAGGTCCATGACCACGAACATGTGACTACTAGAATATTGCTTTTGGAGCATGCTCAAGTTAGGGAGTAAACCCTACGCTTTCAGGGACCGTGTCTATCCTATGAGCCTCAAAAAGAAGGAAACTGGTAGCAGACTGTTTGTGGATTCTGAATAATTGTACAATGGCACTTATTCCAGGGGTACACCTTTCTTAGCTATTTGCGATCCCGTATAAGACTACGTCTGCCTTCTTACTTTTCATGGGGGTAAAATTAAAGGCTAGTAAACAGATCCACGAGCAATCCAAAATGGTCCAACAGTCAGCCCGTAAACTTCATTAGAAAAGTGGAAACATAACTGCATTTCTGAGCATCTTCCATGCGCTATTTAATGGTGTGCAACACCGATACCAGTTCACGTGTGTCACACTTTGGTTTCCCACATTGGTTCGTTAGTATGGGAGTCGATGGACGAATGTTCCACGTTGAACCAACTACTGCGAGCAAACCGAGTAGCATGTCGAAATGATCATGGTTGGTGCGTAAATATAAAGGACTAACACGATTCACGCCTGCTAGTTGACTGGGTTAGGATGCGTTAGTTGTGCTTTCTACTTGGATTTCATAGGCTCAACCGACTGACATTCTCAGATGACCGACCCACATAAACATTTTTGTTGACGAATTTGAGAACGACGGAGTTGTTATGCTGAAGTGTGCGAAGTCTAACAATACCGCGAACAAAAGACACGACCACCGCAGTACCATCGGTTCAGTTAGACGGCACAGTTACGAAACACGATTGCAGCAGACAGAGTGGGATCGGTGAACCGATGGATACTTTTGCAGGAAGACACTAGCAACCACTAAGTCGCGTGCCCATCGCACTGACATAGACCTGCTTTATTTTGGCTACTCTGTGTATTTAGCACAATTTGCAACCGTCAAGTATTCTGATGTGCGAATCTAAAGAGAATCGTTTGGCGGAATGTATCTCAAATAATTTATGTTATCCGGCTGTTGAACACAAGCTCAAAATATCAGTGATGTATCAAATGTGCTGATCAACGGCTTCTGATGAGAGGTGGCGGCACACAACACAACAAACTCCAGGTGAACACAGAGGCTTTTCTAGTGCCCAGTGTCCTGGAAAGCAAGCGCAACCGCTGTAAAACTCATCCGGGATGAGTCGAATTATGCGTCTTGGCTTCCAGACAACGGGTACCCCACAACGAAGAGTCAGAAAATGGAACTAGAGTAACGCTGATGGTCTTAATTAAACACCCTGAAAAACTCCAATCTCAAAGTATTGTAGTTGCATAAAATAGCGCATGTGGGGTCTGGAACATTATTGGGGACAAGCATAGGGAAGGACTCACTTGAAACAAACGACATCACACAGATAGCTGCCAACACTGCGCGCAAAATCCACAGCCAACGCGGTGAATATAAGTGTTTCCGGCTAGCATGACTGCACAAAGTTATGTACACGCTGCTGCAGCCAAAGATCATGAAAGCACCAGTGAGGTGTACCGAAAACAAAGAAGATTCCTATAGCAGAAGTGATGGAGAAAAAGCACACTGCTTTGTAAACTGGCTGGACAATAAAAAAATACCGTGGTATCCAAATACGACGGTCAGAGTTACCTGGAAATTCCCCGCTATACATAGTCCAAAAACTGCGGCCAGACCGAAAGCAAGACTGAAGTATGCGTGCACAATATGCGTCCCTGGACTGGCAAGCTTCATTAGTCGATCCATTTGGTGCCCATACCAACCGTATACGGACATGCAACCTACAGAAGGGATAATAATAAGCAAATAAAATTGAGCTTCAGATATGAATTAAAAACCGAGGGGGGGGGGGAAGGAGAAGTCAGCAGTGTTTATTGAAGTATTATTGAATTAAGAGACCTGCAAAACCATGTGTGCGCAACGTCCAAATCAAAAGTGTGGAAATCCAGACGTTAAACTAAACGCAATGTGTACGCGTGCAAAAGGCGACATAAAATTAAATTGAAATCCAGCACAGATGAACATGTGGCGTGACCAAAAGGCGGTAATGGGTTCCCAGTGTGGTGTGAGCAAGAGTAGGACTACAAAAGTCAACTCCCTGGGCAGCTGACCAGCCACATGCTCGACCTCAAGATTTTTTCGTGTGTCATCAGCGATTTTAACGTTCACATTTCCGTTATTAAACTTTTCCTCAAATAAAGATGGTGCATGGTACGATGTGACATTTTTTGCCTGACTCCTTTTTCTCGTCCGATTTTTTTTCAAACATGAACCCCTTACCGAGATTATACTGCTGTTAAAATCGCTTCACGAAAACGAATCATCCTCGTGATGCTTGCTGTTCCGCTTAGCAGGTCTTCTCATCCGTCCCGTGTCAACGGTAAACTGCACATTAACCTCGTCCCCACACTCTAGCAATAATTTTTTTCTGACAGAGCAAACGGACTTCAATTCTACAGCTCTTATCCGTGAGTACGTTTTTCGCCGT